AATGGGTCTATTTTGGACCTCACCTTCATAGGAGAATTTGTAATCGTCCACTCTTTATCAATGGTGATCTTACTACAAAAAATGAAAGTCAATTGTAGATTTATGAATCAAGGAAAATAAAGGAGTAGCATGGCAGATTAAAATTTGCTAATTCAGGAACCAAATTTTAAATTTTGTGTTAAAATTTTTAAGGATCTCTGTGATCAGTTACTGACACAATTGGAGTATTTTATATATAATGAATTAGGTATAAGACTTTGCAGCACCATTTTGCATTTAATACTAACGTGGAATTCGGCTGAGTGCAAGTACCAGTAGTTTTTTGATGTCTCGATAAACATTAGCTTATCAGATATGTTGTATACACAATTTGGTTTGGGCATTGAAATAACTATATCAGCACCCACTTCATTCACACACACAGTTTTTTTTTTTTTTTATAAGAGGAAGATTTTATGAATTTCAACTGGCAACAGCATTGGCTGTTTTGGTTAATGAATGCTGAATATTTCCTTATAGGGAAATGGCTAATATTACTATTACCATTATAATCATAAATTCAAAGCAACTCTTGATATTAGTGTGGCTTAAGCAATTCAAAAAAGAAAAAAGTAAAGGAAAACATGAAATAAATGAAAAAGATTTACTAAATGTTATTTTTGACTGTATTCAAGAATTTTGCCAATTCTAGTTTAGTTATATTGAAATATTTTTTCTTTTCTGTTTATTAAAGCCAAGCATAAAAAAGTTCAGTAATCCTTTAATCAACTTGTATGTTAATTATTGCACAAAAATTAAGTAACCCTAGGACAGGTCAGAATCAAAAGTTGTTTAAAAAAAAAAAAAAAAAAAAAAGGAGTTTTGATTTGTGAGATATGTTTGTTCCCTATCTTTTTGAGCATATGTCATGAAATATGGTACTTATAGGATATATTTCAGTGGAATTTTAACATTTATTAATCTAAATGACAGTAAAAGTAAATCATTTTAATGTTATTTCTATTTTTTATAGTTTTTTTGTTTTGCGGGGGTTATGCACATGGTGATCATCTTGTATGTCATAAAATATGTTATCTCCCAAAACCAATACATTAACCTAAAAACATGTTCTTAGGTAGCCTAGTCAGCTTAAGACTTTCATATGGATGTCATGTATGGTGCTAAATTTGTTCAGAAACCACTTCCAACACTTATAGACGAAAGCCCAAAATCCAAGTACATAACCCCAAAATGCCTAAACATAAAGAGGAAAAGTTCTCCTAAACTACACTATACTTCCAAATGTCAGAATTCTACTAAAAATCATGCAAAACTGTTCTTTCAATGACTGTTCCAGAAAACACCTTATTTGGCATGAAATAACCTAAAAGGTTAATGCACTGTAAAAGAAAAACGCAATCCAATCCAATTCAAACTTGTTCAGAAATATCTAAACTGTCAGCTGTATACAACTGCTTTCTAAGTTCAATGGTTGAAAATTGTCTTTGACCGAGTAAATCCTGTGGATCTTGGTGAAGGCCATCTTTCTTCAAACCTTGTGGACTGTTGCTACAGAATTTCTAACAAAGAACTGTAGCAGATAAGAGAAATCACATCGCTTGAAGACTTTCAACAGCAGCAACAATTAAAACGGATATCACATGTAACTCAAAGAGAAAATAATGACATAAGATATTTATGTTCCACATTACTTGAAATAAAAGGTTCGGAAGGAAGACCCCATTAATACTGGAAAGAGCAATAACAATGGACTTGAGAAACTTATTTTCCCGAAAGATATAAATTTCAACCATAGGCTGTACTGGCTTTTCATGTCCAATGAATGCAGAATGTTTCTTTGTAAGGAAATGGTTAATATTACCATTACTGTAGCATATATTTTAGTGGAATGTTAAATATATTAATCTAGAATTAGATAACAGAACTAAATCATCTTTTGGTTATACTAATTTTAACTTGTGTAAATTTCACGTTTTTTCTTTTTAATATTCTGATGCATCTTAATTGTTAAGTTAATGAATGAATAAGCTCATAAAAAGTTCTTTGGCAATAAAATATCCATAGAAATAACCCTATTGCATCATTAAATATTTGAGCTTAACAACTTTAACAAAATATTGCAGTAACAATCATAAATATGAATAACAGTCATAATTTTAAGATGTGGATACAAATGAAAAGATTTGAAATTGACAACTTTTTTGATTACACTGAAACAGCTGTTAAACACTTCTGTCTTCCTTTCTTTAATTCATCGAGTAGTATCTATACCCCTCTTGCTACACGATCAAAACTGTATAGTCTATTATTTAAGAGGTATTAGCAGGAGTAACGATTGTCTGAACTAATGGAGGGAGGGACAAGCACAATCATAATAGGATTCTTTAATTTCTTTTATTGATTGCATTGTATTCTTTGTCCTGTAGATTTCTGCTAACTTATTTTCTGATTTTGTATCTATTCCAATCAGCACCTGAAGTAATTTTCCTTCATTATGTTCTGATGATGATGTGAACAAACACTGAAATGTTAATAAAACCCACCATGACTATTTTTAGTGAATCAAATACTGATTAGCTGTAGTGTATCTAATTAACTTTATGTAATTAAATATTTGATTCTGAAAGGAGTATGGTGATGACTTGCAATGGAGCCTTGTGTTCCTGGTCATTTTTAATTTTCCTGGTGTTTTTCAGGTGTGGACAAACATAAATACTTGCTTATTTTTGTGGAAATTAATGGTTGACTCACTGGTGAAGAAATGGATTGTGTATGCCAGATTTGGAGTCATTCACAGATTGGAAAAGCTAGATTTTTTTGATCACCTCAAAGATAAATTTGACTGGTGGTGAATTAACCTTGCAAAAATGTTGGCATCATCATCATCATCAAAGAGCTTGCTGAAGAAAATGTCCTTTTGAGCTTGCCCAAAAGACAGCAATCTCATGCAGGTGATTGGCAGATCTTTCAAAGAATTAAAAGGCAAGCAAAAAATATGTAGAAATTTTCTTTGGTCATTTAAAACTTGGAATTTGTGAAGATTTGTTGTAAAAAATCAATTACAGTTATTGATATTACTTGAGTTGCTGTTACTTGTAAACAAAATTATTGCAAGTTTTATTAGAGGACATTCTTTGGATGTAGGTTTATTTTTGTTTTTTTTGGTTTTTTTTTTTCAATTTCTTTTTTTAATCTTTTAATCACATTCACTTCCAAAAGCCTTCCAGAAGCTAAGCAAAGTATTCAAAAACAGGAAAAATTCATTAGAAACAAAGAATAGTATACTTAACACTTACATTGCTCATATATAGGAATGAGGACTGAACAAGCTCATCACAGATGAAGAGACTTTCAACCAGTGCTACTCAAAGGGGTGGCCCATGGACTGGTGCCAGTACATGGCCAATGTCCAGGCCATGCTAAGGAAACATTTGTGAAGATTAAGGTTATATAATTTTTGTTTTTGTGTTAATAAACTGCTAATTTTTTATTACATTATATAAGTTTTGATATTGAATTATTTTTTGCAAAATAAATGGAAGATAAAAAAAATAGTTAACTTTTATTATATTCATTATATATATCGTTTCCGGTATAAATTAATATTACCACAAAATATTACAGGTATGTGACACATTGAGAAAAAAAATGCCGGTCTGCCATATCGGATAGTTTGAGAAGCACTGCTTTAGACAACAGAAATGTGGTTCTACGGAAGGATCCTGAGAATACCATGGACTGAGCATGTGAGCAATGACATAGTTTTAGACAAAATAAAAAGAAAAAGGGCACTTAGCATCAGAAAGTTGAAATTTCTTGGGGACATAATGAGGGCTTAGAAAATTTGATACTCACTGAAGGCAAGAGGGACAAAGGAAAGCAGAGAATGACCTACCAAACAAGTTTGTGTAAATGGATGGTAGAACAGTTATTAGGAGAGATAACGAAAATAAAGTTTATTAAGTGCTAGAAAAGACAGGAAATTGTGGAGAGTTATGATCACCAATGTCCAGAAGGGGCATGACACATAGAAGATGGCCACATGCAGATATAGACATTAGTAAATATACAGGCATAAAAGAACCATTTATTTTACAACATATTCTCCTTCCTTGCCAATGCACTTAATTCAGTAGTAAATATTCATCATATAGATTGAACATTATACAATGAAAATTTCAGATTAAAATTTTACTAATAACTGCCTCAAGCTATGGAAATATTGATCCAACCTCATTTAAATAAATGAAGTTAACACAATGTTAGTAAGCCTGTATAATATTGAGTAATTTTCTTTGTTCTTGTTGATGCAAAAGAAACTTCAGCTTATGGCTACATTGTGTTGAAATACTGATTCCTGTATGATCACCAAAATTAATTGATGTAGGGTCTAGTCAATACCTAGATGGGTAAATGTTTGTGAATACCAGGTGGTATAAATTTGGATGTGCAAAGTGTACTCACTTACATGCAAATAGACTTGGGAAAAGGTATGAACCATCTCTTCTCCCCCCCAGCTATGAGTTAATTAGTAAGACTTGTATCACTTAATCACTATTTCAAAAAAAAATTTCTTAGAATCTAAAAATATTTTCTGGCTTTAAATAACCTGCAAAAGGTTGATAAGCCATAGAAAATGACTCAATAAAAAAAAAAAAAGAAACTCCATATATGAACTCTGGCATATTCAACTTGGATTAAAGTCTAAAAGAAAAAAATCTTGACTATATTAATGGGACATTTATTTCTGAATTGAGATTTATAAGTTGATTAATGACCTTTTTTTCTTTTTACAAAGTAAACATTGAATCTTTCACAATTGGATAGACCATCTCTATAAACTGCAACCAACACACCTACATTATGAGGGTCACTTTGAAAGCAATATCTCTCTTTTTTTTCTTTTTTTTTTTTTTTTTTTTTTTTTTTTTTTATTATGCTGACTTATAATACCAGAGGTGCATTTTAGTGGTATGACAGTAGAGATAAAACCTTCTTACTGCCATATCACATTGAAACACTGATTCCCATACAGTCACTGAAGTTAAGCAACATCAAGCCTGGTTAGTACCTAGATGAGTGACCACTTGGGAATGCCAAGTACTGTAAACTTGGATGTGTAGGTGGTGTAAGTGTTAATAGCTCAGAATTGAGTTGAGTTCCATTTCCTGTTGGGTTTGTTTGTGCACAAATACCTTTGGGAAATGTATGAATCCACTTCTTCACACCAAAGCTATGAGTTAATTAGTATGACTTGTATCAATAAGACCATTATTATCTTCAAAAATAAATTTAAAAAATTCCGTACAAAATATTTAGATTCTGGCATTAAATAATCTATGGAGGTTAATATGCCACTAATCAGAAACAACCAAACTTCCCTACAATAGCCTCTCATTTTTATTTCTTTTTTTGCTTTCTTACAGATAGCAGCTAAAAGGTAATCTAGAAAAATGATGTCTGACATGAAAGTATATACAAAACAGTATTATTGAATTTTTCCATGCAGGGGAAAAAACAAATTGTACCTGTTGGCTTTCAACACTTGCTGAAAGTTTATGGGAAAATAGTGGATGTAAACATAGGTAGTGTGTAATTCTGTAGACAGCATGCATACTCTGGTTCATTACTGGCAAAAACCCATTGCCAGTGGTGGTGAGGGTGTAAAAAAATATAGTGTTATGTCACTGAAAACTTGTTATGGCATACTTGTATCTGTTTTAGTTTCTGTGAAAAGAAAAAGGAAGAAGGCATTTTTCTGGAACATCTTTTATATGTCAATATAATTTATGATTGTTGGAATAGAGAAAAAAACATTTTCTTTTTGTATATTTGCAGAATTATTCAAGAGGAATTCATTGTTATTTTAGTTTATGTCTTGGGAGCTCTTTGTCCAGACAGGTGGAATGGCAAAGAGAAAATCTTTGAAATGCTGACTTAATTTTATTTTTATTTATTTATAATTTTTCCATGAGGGCATTAGTTTGAATAATAAATATCTTTTGCTTAAATTTTTAGCAGTGATTGCTTATGTCTGTATATTTAAAAATAACATTTTACAAAAAAAATGTTACTTTCTCTTGTAGTTTATTGCTTTGTTTACAATGTTGTTTTCTGAGTAGACATTTTTTGTGTCTCCATAATTTCCCCGTTTTGGTTTTTATTCAAAACTACTGTAGACTCTGACTGTCATTATGTTGTTACTATTAGTGGAAGAATTAGAAGAGACTAATCAGGAGGACAGTAGATAGCGATTGAGATTGCATTTAAATTTTTGTAGATTAAAGTTGGCTGGAAAGCATGTAACCAGAATTGAGTTCCACAAACAAGAAGTGCAAGAAAAGAGACTGTTAGCTTAGAATTTACAGATGCATCTCACCAGCTTAATTGTAAATTAAGATCTCAGCACCAAGTTCAAAAAGGTTAGGTTCTACATTTTCACAATGTCACCTCCAGCCTTCCATATCTGGGATACTTTGACTTTTTCAAATTCCTGATATCATGATTTTTTTTCCCTGCTAAATTTTTGGATTCTAATTTTGTTATTTTCAGTGTTGAAGGGTATGTCTTTCATTTTATATACACAGGCAGAGCATATTCTTTGCTTTTAGTCATTGTATTTCTCTTCCTTATGTTAACTGAGATTTTCATATTGAATCCTAACAGAACTAGCTTCAGAACTCTATGCTTACAGCAGAATTTTAAGGTGGTTGAATAAGATACAGCTGTTGGATTAGCTTCAGTTGGGATTATCAAATGGGATTATCACTGTGAACTCCACAATCGTTTTCTTAGCTGTATATTATCTACAGGATTACATGTAGTTTTGAATTCAGAATTGTCCTTCTCTTAGACTGGTTGCCAACTAAGGCTAAACGGCTCATTCTGATCTACTATTTAACCCATAGCTGGAGGGAGAAGAGATGGAATCATACCTTTTCCAAGGGTATTTGCACAATAGTGAATGTAACAAAGCTAGACTGGAATTCAAATTCAGCATGTTGATTTCTTGGTTCAAGCCACTATCCATTACATCACTGTGTGATAAAGATAACGATGACAAGAAAACTAGACTAATTATTGAATGTATCAGGTAATGGACATTGGTGCAGAAAGGGCAATTGTAAAACCGAGTTCTGTCATGTTCACTTTCAAACAATCCCTTAGGAAAGACATAAAACTGTCTCTTATTTCTCCACTTATGGGTTAAATAGTGTTTACTGGGCTCTCTTGACTTGGGTGGTAGCAAGTTTTAAGAAAAGAAAAACTTTGAATTCTAAACCGTGGAAAAAAAGCAAGAAATCACTCCACTGTCCTTTCCAAGAGGGTCTTATAGCTACATCACATTGAAACACTAGTTTCATACAATCACTGAAGTTAAGCAATGTTGAGCCTGGTCAGCACCTAGATGGGTGACCACTTAGGAATACCAGGTAATGTCAGCTTGGATGTGTCGGTGGTGTAGTGGATAATGGCACAGAAATCAGAGAGCAGAATTAGGTTTGTTATATTCATTGTCATATCCCAAATACCCTTGGGAAAGCTATGAATCCACCTCTTCTACTCCCCCCCCACAAAAAAAAACAATAGGCTAAGACTTGTATCATTAAAAGAATTATTATCTCAAAAAATAAAAATTTGCATACAAAATATTTAGATTTCGGCATTAAATAACCTATAAATGTTGATATATCACTAAAAAATACTAAGAACCTTTCCAAGAATGCATGATAATTCATAGATGATGAAAGACTTTATGGAGAGTTATGATTGCCAGTATCCTCAAGAGACATGAAACTAAAAAAAGAAATAATGGCAGCAAAACTTTGTCTCAGAAATTTGGACAAAATCTCGAAATGTTACACTGCTTCAAATTCTGTTGTATTATTGATGGTGGTGGGGAGTTACTGTGCTGAAGGGTTGGGCAGTACAACTGAAGGGTCAGTTCAGTGCTTAACTGGCTACTGATAATGACTTGTAAACTACAGCTCTTAGAAATACCTTCGTAAAACATGTCTACTCTAAGAAAGTAAATACTATATAAAAATTAAGTTTGTTTTTTTTGGTTTTTTTTTTTTTTGTTTATTTTCAAAATACCAGTTCATTACTGTGTCTTTGTATTCAGGAAAGTCTTGTTAATTCTGTTTGATAATTATTTTTTTTTTTTTCTATAGAGTTTTTTAATTATTTCTCAGCTCCAGTTCTGTCCCTTCCTCTCTCTGCTTGGCTGCTTTTTATATTTACATTATGGAGACAGTCTTCTCAGTTCAGCAGGAATGTCATGATTAACTGTCCCTTTATGCCTGCAAGAAGAACTCATAAAAAATGTTCCAGATTTACAGAAATGGATCTGTTTTCTTATTTGTAAACGATTCACCTGACCCATGCTTCTTTACTGTTGTTTTAATAACTGCATTTGTTGATTATAGGAAATGCTTTAAAAGTCTTGACAAATCTTTTTCAGTAATTTTTTTTATACTTTCCTTCGTTCTTTGCTTTGTTTCTTTAGTCGGCTCTTCCATTCCTTCCTTCCTTTGTCTGCTCTACCATTCCTTCCTTCCTTTGTCTGCTCTTTCGTTTGTTCCGTCCTTCCTTTTATCTGCTCTTTCGTTTGTTCCTTCCTTTTATCTGCTCTTTCATTCCTTCCTTCCTTTTGTGTGCTCTTTCATTCCTTCCTTCCTTTTGTGTGCTCTTTTCTTTCATTCCTTCCTTCCTTTTGTGTGCTCTTTTCTTTCATTCCTTCCTTCCTTTTGTGTGCTCTTTTCTTTCATTCCTTCCTTCTTTTTGTGTTCTCTTTTCTTTCATTCCTTCCTTCCTTTTGTGTACTTTTTTCTTTCATTCCTTCCTTTTGTCTGCTCTTTCATTCCTTCCTTCCTTTTGTCTGCTCTTTCTTTCCTTCCTTCCTTTTGTCTGCTCTTTTCTTTCTTTCTTTCCTTCCTTCCTTCCTTTTGTGTGCTCTTTTCTTTCTTTCTTTCCTTCCTTCCTTCCTTTTGTGTGCTCTTTTCTTTCTTTCCTTCCTTTTGTTCTCTTTTCTTTCTTTCTTTCCTTCCTTTTGTGTGCTCTTTTCTTTCTTTCCTTCCTTTTGTGTGCTCTTTTCTTTCTTTCCTTCCTTTTGTGTGCTCTTTTCTTTCTTTCCTTCCTTTTGTGTGCTCTTTTCTTTCTTTCCTTCCTTTTGTGTGCTCTTTTCTTTCTTTCCTTCCTTTATCTCCTCTTTTCTTTCTTTCCTTCCTTTATCTCCTCTTTTCTTTCTTTCCTTCCTTTATCTCCTCTTTTCTTTCTTTCCTTCCTTTATCTCCTCTTTTCTTTCTTTCCTTCCTTTATCTCCTCTTTTATTCCTTCCTTCCTTTTGTGTGCTCTTTCTTTCCTTCCTTCCTTTTTGTATGCTCTTTTCTTTCTTTCTTTCCTTCCTTCCTTCCTTTTGTGTGCTCTTTTCTTTCTTTCTTTCTTTCCTTCCTTCCTTCCTTTTATGTGCTCTTTTCTTTCTTTCTTTCTTTCCTTCCTTCCTTTTGTGTGCTCTTTTCTTCTTTCCTTCCTTTATCTCCTCTTTTATTCCTTCCTTCCTTTTGTGTGCTCTTTTCTTCTTTCCTTCCTTTATCTCCTCTTTTATTCCTTCCTTCCTTCCTTTTGTGTGCTCTTTCTTTCCTTCCTTCCTTTTTGTATGCTCTTTTCTTTCTTTCTTTCCTTCCTTTTGTGTGCTCTTTTCTTTCTTTCTTTCCTTTTGTGTGCTCTTTTCTTTCTTTCTTTCTTTCCTTCCTTCCTTTTGTGTGCTCTTTTCTTCTTTCCTTCCTTTATGTCCTCTTTTATTCCTTCCTTCCTTTTTGTCTGCTCTTTCATTCCTTCCTTCCTTTATCTCCTCTTTTATTCCTTCCTTCCTTTTGTCTGCTCTTTTCCTTCCTTCCTTGCCACTTTTGTCTGTTCTTTCCTTCCTTAGTCAACTGTTTCATTCATCTTTTTCTTTTTTAGTTTATTTTTTTACTTCATCTACTCTTTTGTACCTTGATTCTTTATAATCTGTCTACTCTTACTTTTATTTTCCTTTTGTGATTTCCTCTTTTCCCCCTCCTAGAATTTCTTAATCCCTCTTTGCATTTTACTCCTCATCTTCTAA